GACCTCCAGCGCGGCAGCCGACCCGCCGCGACCCGGAGGTTGGGAGCCTCTGCTTTACTCGCTCGACCGGAGCCGGAGTCAGCGCTTCATACTTCTGAGAGAGCCCATTAAAACGACATGTTCGGCGGCGGCAGCGGGGCTGAGACTGCGTCACTCGACGCCTGTAAAAGTAGCCGGCCAGGTCGACCGGCGAGCAGCTGGCAAAAGCGGCGGCCTGCAAGTCCCCTCGAGAGACGCCGGCGCTCGTCCCACGATGGGCACGAAGCCGGACTGTCCCCGCACGCACAAGGAGCAGGGGGCTCCCGCTGCAGCAAGGGAAGTCGAGGTTAAGTATTGGCGGAAAGGGGCAGCAGGCGCCGAAGCGAGGGGCACGGCCTAGAGGCTGCAGGCGGGAGAGGAAGAGGAAGACCCCCCCCCGTGTGTGGGGCAGCCGCCCGGCGCTACCTCCCGCACGCCGCCCGGGTGCTGCTGCGCCATGGCCAGGAGCATGCCATCGAAGCGGTCCTCCTGCTCCGCCGCCTCCTCCGCGCTCAGCCCCATGGCGACCCGCAACCGCTGCCCGCGACCTCTCGCCCGGAACCGGAAACGGGCTCCCCCACCAACCAACGCGCCGCATTCCTCTCGCTCCCCCTTGTTGATTGGCCGCCGCCGCGCCCAATCCGCGGACGGGGGGGAAGAGGGCGGGCGCATAGCCCGGCACAGGCGCGCGGCGCTGGTTGCTATGGAGATCGGCGCCGTCTCGCGCCTTCCAGAAAGCTCCGCGGTTCCGCGTGGCCCTTTGGGCGGGGGGGTCGGAGGGCAGGGGTCGCGGCTGGGTTAGCCCTTTAAAGGGATGGTTGGAAGGATTCGTGGGGGAAGGGGGTGACACGAGTGATGGGGTCACAGCCTTGCCTGGAGGTCAGGGTTCACAGAGGGAGAGGTCACCCCTAGCAGCACAGGGTTGTGGGGAGGGGAAGACCCCACCCCACACACACACACACACACACAATTCCTGTGTTGCTCTCCCGCCTGGGCGGCTCCGCAGCACGAGAAGACGGCGCGGGATAGATCCGGCGGGGTGCGGCGCATTGCGACGCGAACGCCACGGCCTGGAGCAGCTGAAAGCAGTGGGCTGGCAGAAGAGAAGGCTGATGCGGGACTCAATGGCGGCTTCAGCTACCTGAAGGGCGCCGCACAGAGGATGGAGACGGGCAGCGGGGCTGGGAGCCACGGCCTTAAGCTGAGACAGAGGGAATTTAGCTTGGGTGTGACCTCCCAAGGCCCCTTCTCATCCAGCCCCCGCTCAGAGCAGGACCAGCCCCGACTACCTCGTTCCAGCCAAGGCTTGGGGGTCTTAAACACCTCCAGGTTCTCTGGGGAGCCTGTCCCAGTGCTTCACCACCCTCCTATGAGAGAGATTTTCCTAATATCCAACCTCTGCTTCCCTTGCTACAACGTGAACCCATGGCTCCTTGTCCTGCCATCTGCCCCCACTGAGACCAGCCCAGCTCCATCCTCTTTGCAGCCCCCCTGCAGGGAGGTGAAGGCTGCTGTTCAATCCCCCTCGGTCTGCTCTTCTGCAGACTATCTCCAGTCCCTGAGCCTCTCCTCACAAGTCAGGTGCGCCATGGTGCCAGGTCCGTCCGTTCTGAGGGCTGCGTACGTGGCCCAGACTCAGTCCGTCCCCGTCCCCCCCCCCGGCCGCACCGTGTTTCATAGGTTCATCGACTGTCGAGTCGGAAGGGACCACAATGGATCATCGTGTCCAACCCCTGCCCCTGGCAGGAAAGAGGACCGAGGTCAGATGACCCCAGCCAGGTAACTATATCCTCCTCTTGAAGACCTCCAAGCTAGGTGATAGCACACCTCTCTTGGGAGCCCATTCCAGATCCTGGCCACCCTTACTGTGAAACATTTCTTCCTAATATCTAACCTAAATCCACTCTCAACTAGTTTACACCCGTTATTCCTAGTCACTCCCTGGGGCGCCCTAGTAAACAGCGCTTCCCCTATTCCCCGTTGACCTCCCCTAATACATTTATAGGCGGCCACAAGATCTCCCCTCAGCCGTCTCTTGTGAAGGCTGAAGAGATTCAGCTCTCTCAACCTCCCCCCATAGGGTCTATCACGAAAGCCACTAATCGTGCGAGTGGCCTCCTCTGGACCCTCTCCAGACTCCCCGCGTCCCTCTTGAAGTGCGGCGCCCAAAACTGGACACAGTACTCCAACTGCGGCCTGACCAGTGCCGCATAGAGGGGGAGCATCACCTCCTTTGATCTATCAGTCACGCACCTGCTAATGCACGACAAGATGTGACTGGCCTTGTTGATGGTCTCGTTACACTGCCGGCTCGTGTTCATCTTGGACTCAGTTATGACTCCAAGATCCCTCTCTGCCTCCGAGCTGCTGAGAAGGACACTCCCCAACCTATAGGTGTGCTGGGGGGGGGGTTTCCTCCTTCCCAGGTGGAGTACCTTACATTTATCTTTATTAAATTGCATCCTATTTCTCTCTGCCCATTGCTCCAACCTGTCGAGGTCGGCCTGAATCTGCTCCCTGCCCTCCGGTGTACTAACTTTGCCCCATGACTTGGTATCATCAGCGAACTTGGAGAGGGTGCTCTCCACGCCCTCATCCAAATCGCTGATGAAGATGTTAAATAATACCGGTCCGAGGACCGAATCCTGCGGGACCCCACTGCCCACCGCCCTCCAGGCCGAGAAGGAACCATCCACCACCAAGAGAAGGGAAGGGAGAGGCTCTCTCTCGATGTTGGTTTAATGAAATCTGATTCTCAAACCCCCCTGTGTTTTTCTGACACCAGGTACCCCAGGTCCCAGCCTTGATCCGAGAACCAGATGCCCTCAGTTCATTGGGTTTCTTTTCATTATCTGTAACAACAGCAGCCTGCTGTCAACAAGGTTAGACAAACAACCTGCTGATAACATGACTTCCAGGTTGCTCTTTCCAAGGCCAGAGCCTACAGGTTGTTTGCCACCGAGCTCCTGCTCCAGACAAGTGCTGTGTGTGCATGTGCGCGCTCCTTGGCAATGACACCTGTCATATAGTACTGCCTGATTACGCATCGGGGCCTTGGTACCATGGTACAGGCTGGGTTAACGACATTGTTTATCCTGTTTGGACAACTGAGATAAGGCAGCTGCCCGGCCTGCCATTCTGTCCCCGTCCTCCTGGCCCTGGCTGGCACTTTCATTGAGAAAACACTTCTTGACGCCACGTGAGGAACTCTTGTCCCCAGCCAATCAGGCGAGAGTCAACTTGTTTTTTAATGAATGCTGCTTTGTCAAAGAGAGGTCAAGGGTGGAAGGGGGCGTTCCACTCACCGCCAGCGCCTTATAAATACCACTGAGCGTAGCAGCCAGAGGGTTGAGGCAGCTGAGCTCAGTGGAAGAGGCTGCAGTCAGAGAGCTTTGACGGGCACAGGAGTTTGCGGTTGTGCTCACAGACTCAGCCTGTCAAGTGCACCCAGATCACCTCCTCCTTCAGAGTCAGTGGGATCTGCTTGGTGGGCTGAGCTCCGAGTACAGGCAGCATGGACATGGACTATGAGAGGTGCCAGTGCCACAGCGAAGAGAACCGGAACGCCATCCTCTATACCCTTCTGAGCCAAAACCTGAACCACAATCATAGCCCATCCCAGCAGCGCTGCCGGTGCCAGAAGCGTCGCACCGTCTGCCTCCAGACACCCCAGGTCACCTGCCAGGCGGCCTCTGATGTTCTGGTGAAAACAGTCAGCTTCATGAAGAACCTGCCCTCCTTCCAGCTGCTGCCCCGGGAGGACCAGCTCCTCCTGCTGGACAGTTGCTGGGCTCCTGTCTTCATTCTGGGGTTGGTTCAAGAGATGGTGACATTCGACGTGATGGAGACCCCGGCCCCCAGCATGCTCAAGAACATTCTCCTCAATGGCCAGAGCAAGAGGCAGGAGCCTGAGAGGACACAACCCACCCTAGCCGGGGTGCAGCGGCTGCAGTGCTGCCTGAACACGTTCTGGAGCCTGGACCTGAGCCCTAAGGAGTATGCCTACCTGAAAGGAGCCATTCTTTTCAACCCTGGTGAGTGCTCTCAGCAGGGCAGAGGGTACTACACAGAGAATCTGGGCTGGGCTGCTTGAAAGCACGCGTGTACGTGTGTGTGTGTGTGTGTGTGCGTGCGCACGCATGCGCATACACACGTGAGCAATAGGGAGGATTATCTTAATGTCATTAATCCATAATGTTAACATTTCACACTTTTCATTCCAGTAGCTCAAAAGTAGGAAGAGTAGCCCCATTTTACAGACAAGTAGACCGAGGCCCAGACTGTTGTAGAGGCTAATTTCAGAGGTGCTAAGCATCCTTAATTCCCACTGACTTCTGGAAATCAGTCCCTTGCCATATGCTTTGGGGAAATATTTTGAATAAGACCATAGACGGTAAAGATCCCAGGGCACAATTTGGAAAGCTGGAGTTGTCCCTGGTTTCACCGGTCAGTATTTCTCTTCCATGGTTATGCTGCACGGTAGTAAAGAGCTCCTTCCACCCCAGAAGTGGCTGCATCTCAGTGGTGCTGCCTTGCATGGTTTATGAAGCACTTTAGGGTCTCTGTGCTATAGATGGTTAAGGTGTGTGTGTTTCTGTCTGTTCACGTGCGTGTGCTCAGTAGAAAGAAATTAAGCTTGATTGCAGCAGCAGGAATATGCCAAAATATTTCAGAGAGGAAGTCAAGTGCCAGTGAGTGGGATTGAGATTGGTGCTTAGGCTGGGAAGCAGAGCCCGTAATTCACATTTCAATTGTTCCTCCTTTCTCTCTCCCTAGACGTCCCAGGTTTAAGGGCCTCCTTGTACATAGAGAGCCTCCAGCGGGAAGCACAGAGAGCGCTGCAGGAAGTTGTAGGACCGCTCCACCCAGAGGACCAGGGCCGCTTTGCCCGCATCTTGCTGATGGCCTCCACCCTGAAGTCCATCTCTCCTGCCCTCATCACAGACCTCTTCTTCCGCCCCATCATCGGCAACGCAGACATTGTTGAGCTGATCACAGAAATGTTGTATGAAATAACTGCCAAGTGGTCAGCTCTTTCATCACGCGTGGCATGCTGATTCTGCAGTTGCTTTCACAGGTGTCTCCTGCTCACCGAGCTGAGTGTCACAGGATGGTAAAGTTAATCTGAGAATGGGACTTAGTGGAAAAAAATTGGACATTACTGAGAGCTGGCCTGGCATGTGTATTCCACTCAGACTCTGATCACAGATTCCTCAGCTAAGGCATAAAATCACTTCCTAACTTCTCTGTTATTCAGCAGATGTTTACATCGGGCCTTGCTCCTGGTACGACAGCAAACTCAGACTGCCAAGCTGTTTCTAAAAGTGCGTGTGCATGGGAAGATAATGGTTCTGCTTCACTCTCCTGTAACTTGAAAACAGCTTGGCCAAAGCCCTTCAAACTTGCCAGGCAAAATCATTCTCTGAGCTGATACTTTCCACGGCAGATATTCAGGTCAAAAAGCATCAGTGGGAGAAAGGAGGGAATTGAAATTAAGGCTTCTAACCAGAGGAGGAGGTGACAGGAAGTTACAGCTTTAAAGTGTCATAGAGCATTGCCATTACACAAAAAGAACGTGGTTCCTAGATGTGCTTCCCACCCCCAGCACCTCGTCACCTCAGTGGGAGCTGGGAGCGCCACAGGAAATGACCCTGCAGTACCGAACGGGTCAGATCAGAGCACAAGCCAGACTCCATGAGTCAGGGGACATCCTGGTCTCACTGAAGTGAATGGGACTTGATCAGAACCGGGCTTCCCCTCCTCCATTCCAGGTGCTGACGTAGAGAGAGAAAACAGGCTTTGGACTGAGCTCAGATGTCAGTATTTGTGAGCGAGTGGTCTTCTGTGATTTGTACAGAAGCGGCAGTAAATTATTATTTTTTTAATAAAATGATTTATGTTTTGGAACATGGCGGTGGCTCTGTTTTGAAGCACACATTTGCTCTGTTGTGTTTGATGCGAGATTACAACAACCTGCCACTCAACAGATCGCTCAAAAGAAATCCAAAGGGGACGGGGCACAGTCATCCTCAGAGACCTCCGCCCATTGCAATGTGTTTTGTCATTTTAAAGACAGTGCAGTACAGAATGAATCTTGCATCCAAACACTGCTGGGGAAGGATGTCTGATTAACAGCCTTGCAAACTAAAGTCCAGTTATATGGACAAGAACAGCACAGGTGCAAAATCA